GGAAACAAAAGCAAAAGCAAAGCATTGGGACTACAGCAGAATAAAAAGCTTCTGCACACCCAAGGAAACAGTCCTCAAAACAAAAAGGCAACCTACAAAATGGGAAGATACTTGCAAATGATCTATCTGGTAAGGGGCTAATATCTAACGTATGTAAAGAACTCCTACAACTCCATGCCAAAAAACCGAATAATCTAATTGAAAATACATAGTTAACCTGAACAGATATGTTTCCAAAGAAGACATACAGATGGCCAACAGACAGGTGGAAAGTAACTCAACATCACTCATCATCAGGGAAATGCAAACCAGTACAACGAGAATACCTCACACTTGTCAGAATGGCTAGACTCAGACAGAAAACTAACAGGTGTTGGTGAGGATGTGGAGAACAGGGAACCCACATGCACTGCCGGTGGGAATGTAAATTGGTCCAACCACTGTGGAAAACAGCATGGAGTTTCCTCAAAAAATTAAAAATAGAAATGCCATAGACCCAATAATTCTACTACTGGATACTTACCCAAAGAAAGAGAAAACACTCACTCAAAAAGACAAGATGCATCCTTTGTTCACTACAGCATTATTTATAGTTGCCGAGACATGGAAGCAACCAAAGTGTTCATCCATAGACGAATGAATAAGGAAGATATGGTGCATGTGTGCGTGTGTGTGTGTGTGTGTGTGTGTCTATACACACACAAAATATATAGAGAGAACAGAATATTACACAGCCATTAAAAAGGATGAGATCTTGCCATATACAACAACAAGGATGGATCTAGAAGGTACTACATTAAGTGATATAAATCAGAGAAAGACAATACCATATGAGTTCACTAATATGTAGAATCTTAAAAAACAAAGGAAATGAATAAACAAAAAGCAGAATCAAGGGCTCCTAGGTAGCTCAGTCAGTTAAACATCTTGACTCTTGATCTCAGCTCACGTCTTGATTTCCAGGTTGTAAGTTCAAGCCCTGTGTTGGGCTCCACACTAGGCAAGGAGCCTACTTTAAAAAAAAGGGGGGGGGGAGAAGAAGATGAGAAAGAAGGAAAAAAAAGAAAAAAAAAAAGAAAAATCGTCCTATAAATACAGAGAACAAACTGTATTGTTCTCTGATGGTTGCCAGAAGGGAGAAGGGAAGAGGATTGGCAAAATGGGGGTAGGAGGAGGGGAGATACAGGCTTCTAGTTACAGAATGAGTAAGTCACAGGAATGAAAAGCATAGCATAAGGAATATAGTCAGAGATACTATAACAGCACTTAATGGTGACAGACTATAGCTATACTTGTGGTGAGCCCAGCACAATGTATAAACTTGTCTAATCACTAACTTGTACACCTGAAACTAATGTAACATTGTATGTCAGTTCCACCCAAATAAAAACATTGAAAATGAAAATTAAAAACTTTATGTCACTTCACTCTTCTTGTTTCTTCATGGTTTCTGAGAACTCAGATGGAATTCTTACTGCTTTGTTCATCAATAAATAGGTCATACCCTTCCCAGATTGTTTTTTTAATAAAAATTTTTAAAATTTTTCATTAAAAAAAGAGAAAGAAATCATACATGTTTTATAAATTACTTAACCCCCAGGACTTGCAGTCAAGGAGGCACATACACATTTGTCTGGATTGATTGATCAATTCATTAATTATTTAAAACAAACAAATGAGGGGTGCCTGGGTGCCTCAGTTGGTTAAGTGTCTGACTCTTGATTCCAGGCTCAGGTCTTGATTCCATCAAGTCTCTCGATTCCATCTCAGGGTCCTGGGATTGAGTTCCATGTCAGGCTTCAGGCTCAGCTGGGAGTCTGCTTGAGGATTCTCTCTCTCTCCCTCTCCCTCTGCCCCTCCCCCGCCTCTCTTTCTCTCTCTCTCACTCTCTCAAATAAATAAATAAATCTTTAAAACAAAACAAAAAAATAAATGAGAGCGTGATATGATCAATGGTGGCATACCACCAAATCCTGGCGGGAAGCGCTTCATGCTCAGAGGTTCCAGGTTCAGCCCAGGAGCCAGAAGTCTACCTTCTCATCCCAGTGGGAGACGGGTTCTTTTAGGATATCACTTGCCTGCTAATTTCTCTGGGAATGTTTCAAACTCAAAAATTAACTCTCTGCTCGTGATCTGGCTTTACACACACAGGCATATCTCATTTTATTGTCCTTTGCAGACACTGCTTTTTTTTTTTTTTTAAACAAATTGAAGGCTTAATGGCTACCCTGTGTCAAGCAAGTGTGTTGGTGCCATTTTCCCAACAGCATTTGCTCACTTGCCTCTGTGTCACATTTTGGTAACTCTTAAACTATTTCAAAGGTTTTTGTTATTATTATGTTTGCGGCGATCATCTGTGATCAGAGATTATAACTCCCTGAAGGCTTAGATGGTGGCTAGCATTTGTTAGCAAGAAACTACTTTTTTTTTTTTTTAAAGATTTTATTTATTTATTTGACAGAGAGATCACAAGCAGGCAGAGAGGCAGGCAGAGAGAGAGAGAGAGGAGGAAGCAGGCTCCCCGCTGAGCAGAGAGCCCGATGCGGGGCTCGATCCCAGGACCCTGAGATCATGACCTGAGCCGAAGGCAGCGGCTTAACCCACTGAGCCACCCAGGCGCCCCAAGAAACTACTTTTTACTTAAGGTGCGTACTCTGCTTTCTAGACATCATGCTATTGCACACTTAACAGGCTACAGGAGAGTGTAGACACAGCTTTTATATGCACGGGGAAACCAAAAAATTCATCTGATTTGCTTTACGGCACTATTCATTTTACGACAGTGGTCTGGAACCAAACCCACAGTATCTCTGAGGCCCTTCCTACAATAAAAGCATGCTCTGGTCACACGCGCGTCAGCTCCTAGAGTCCTCAGGACCATGCTTTCTCATGCTAAATTAATAAAGCAGTGTTGGGTTATGATCTGGCATCCCGTATAAATGGACTTCTGGGAGAAATGCAATGAAAATACCAATACAACATCTGATAGCTGGATCTCTTTATAAATTAATACACTGGCATTCTGACACTAAAAAAAGAAAAGGCCTGTCCATTTTAAATTTGCAAAAAAAAAAAAAAAAAAAACCATCCCTAAAAACTTAGGACTTATGGGTCACAAGAATTAGATGACAGAGGGTATTCTGACAATGCATATATAAAACCTTTAAAATGTACCTAGTACTTGACCCTGAAATTCCAGTAATAGGAATGTATCCTGAAAAATAATCATAAATGCACATTAAAATTTAGTCCCAAGGATGTTTATAGTAGCACTGTTTAAAACAGAAGCTGGAAACTTAAATATCCAATAACATGGGATTGAACAGATAATCTGTGGTAATCCCTATTAAGAAATACTCTGCAGTTTTTCAAAATATTTTACTGAACAGAATAATAATTAATGGCATGGGAAGAAGGCTCATCATCTACTAAAAGCAAAAATAGTGGGTTATGAATCAATAGTCAACTGTGGTGGTTAGCTGGATGATGGTGTCCTGTGTGATTTTTATCTTCCTATGTTTATCTGCATTTTATAAATTTCCTTGGAGTGTCACATGTCACATATTTTGAAAAACATTTCTATACAAAAGTAAATTTCAACCAGTCACAAAAGGACAAATACTATATGATTCCACCTACATAAACTACCTAGAGTCATCAAATTTCATAGTGGCGGGAAGTAGCACGGAAGTTGCCAGAAGCTGGAGGGCGGGGGTGGGCGGGTGAGGAGCTACTGCTTAGTGAGTCCAGAGCTTCAGTGTTGCGAGACGAAGAGAGTTCTGGAGATGGACGGTGGTGACGGTTGCACAACGTGAATGTGCTTAACGCCCCTGGGCTTACACTTAGAAAGGGTTATAAAACGATGGTAAATTGTTTGTTATGTGTGTTTTATCACAACTTCCTTAAAAAACAGGGAAAAAAGGGGGCGCCTGGGTGGCTCAGTTGGTTAGGCATCTGACTCTTGATTTCAGCTCGGGTAGCGACCTTCGGGCCCTGGGACAGAGACCCGAGTCTTTGGGCTCCACTCAGCAGGAGCTGAGCTGCTGCTTGAATTCTCTCTCCTTCTCCCTCCCTCTGCCCCTCCCCCTGCTCGTGCTCCAGTGCTCTCTCTCGCTCACTCTTTCTCGCTCTCTCCCTCTCTCAAGTAAATCTTTTAAAAAGGAGAGAAAAGCTAAATGCTTTTTCAAGTTAGTAAATCATATGGACCACTGGATCTAGAGGCGGCTGAGGTACTAGGATTTTCAGGAGACAGGAATAGCTCGTGTAACACTGTGTTCTGACTTTACTTCAGTTTTAATAAAAGAGCTGAGGGACTGGAGCAGAGAAGGCGTAATTGGACCTCAGAACACACAGCACCGAGTGCGACAACCCTCCCTGCCTGCCAGGGCTGGAGTGCGCCAGGGACGAGGAAGCATTGGCCTTGTTTCCTCACCATCTGTACTGGCCATGGGGCTCCTGTCTCCTTTCCTGACCATGGAGTTCTCCTCCTCTCTCTCTAGTGCCCCACAGCTTGACTCTCAAATAAGGGGATGGATCGGGCTGCCCCCAAAGCCCAGTTTCCCCGAGTCTACATCCTCTGGAGGCCATGGGGTAAGGGACTGCCCCCAGAATCCTTCAGCGAGTCACTGGGAGAGTCAGGCAAAGAAGAGATTCTCCTCTTGAAGACAAGATGATTCCCCTCTGTACCAATGAAGAAAGAACTAGATTCAGCGAACAGAAATTCCTCCTATATTCACCGAGAGGCCGCCCAGCACTCTGCTACTAGAAGAGGGGTGCAGTGCCTGGTTCCTGATGGTGGGACCTGAGGGGCCTGAGAGGGCAGAGGCATGGGCCGAGGGCTGCACGTGGCTTGAGGCTGTCTCTTAGCAGAGCTAGGATGTGGGAGGCTGAGCTTTAACAGCTAAGAAGACCATGCATGCACACAGACAGGAACAGTAAGCTTTCCAAGGCCTTCCGAGTTCATGGGGCCAGGGCAAGATGGGGACTCGTGCTTTTCTTACCTGCTGTAGGCACGCTAACGTTATACTGAGGTAAAATAAATAGGAAGGCAGTCTTGGCGGTGACCTGTAAAAGAAAGGAAAAATGTTCCAATTCAGCTTCTTGGCCACGTCAAAAGAAACAAGGGGATCCTGCTACCAGCCCCCAGGGCCCTTTCTGTTTGCATCTCAGACCCGAAGGCCTATCCTACCACAAAAGGTAGAACTGTTTGTTTGTTTGTTTGTTTCCCTGTGTTTCTTGACTGTCCCGACTCCCAGTGCCTGCACTAAAAACAAACAAAACAACAACAGGGGGCGTTGGGCGGTATCTAGGCTTGTACTTGCTGCAGATAAAACCACACACTGAGAGCTCAGAGGCTAAGGGCACAGACCGCCTGCCATCCATTCAAGTATTGAGTAATAAGTCCTAGGCACAGGTGCTGTGGAAGACAGAAACTGGTAGAAAATGACTCCGACTTCAAGAAGCTTCCATGGAGCTGAGGTGTCCCCAGCATGCTGGTTAACCGCATGCTGGCCAGCAGCCCCAGAAGTCGACACCCGAGCTTCAGAAACCGAGAACTGCAGCTGCGAAGTTCACATCCACTGCGCCGGGGGGTACGGGGCAAGACGGAATACCCCGCACGGCTGGTTGTTTATTTCGAAAGCTGCCTCGAAAATCTCACTTGGGCTATGCCTGGTTTAGCCTGCCACCTGGCTGTTACCTGCCAAATCAGTACTCCGGCAACTCGGTCTGAAGGAAGAGCGGACCAAATGCAGGGATTCAAAGCTTGCACTTAAGGATCGAAGTGGACTACCTGGGTTCCCATGCAGCCTCTGCCATGAGCGAGGGGTGTGAACTTGCACCCCGAGCCTCAGTCCCTTGTCCACAAAATCAGGGACATCCGTGGTCCTCCAGCTGCTCTGGGTGGTGCTGGCCCAGCTGCTAGTGCGGTTTCAGGCTCCCCAGATGTTTCTGATGTGCAGCTGGGGCTCAGAAGCACCACCCACACCGTTCTGTAGCGGGGAGGATGCCCCTGGGTACACCTCAGCAATGACTGACTGCTTCTCCTCTAAACAAAAAGGTCTGAAGCCTGGACTGTGGGCGTGGGGGGAACACACTGGGCACAGCCAAAGCAGCGTGGAACGGAGTGAGGGACACACTGCAGACCCTCCCGGGCTGGACTCTCAACACACCCAGGAGGAGGGGACTGTGCTCAGCCACTCTCCCCATCACCAAGCCCCATGCCTCTGCAGCGAGGTGTCCTTTGCTCTTTGTCCACAGTGATGCTTGAGGCTTCGCATGTGTTTGTGCTGTTGTCTGAGACATGCTCGGTCATGCTCGCAGGGAAAAAGTCAAATGAGACTAGGGATAAGAAGGCGTTCTGGAAAACACAAAGCCCTATCCGAACGCACAGGTTTTCCCCCGCCTCCACCCCAAAAGCTTCCTACTGTGGTCCACAAGACCTTTTTCAGGGGGCTCCCAACCTCCCTTCTAGTCCAACTGCCTGTGTTTCTTTAGAACAGATGGACACTGTTTCTCCCAAAACGTGCTACTCACTACTTCCTTTGGGGGGTTTTAGTCCCTCGCACTTTGTATCCTACTTCCGTTACACTCCCCCCTCCGACGCACACACACACACCACCAAATCCTATCGATCAGAATCTCATTTATCCGTCATAACCCAGCTCACCTGCAGCCCCTCCGTGAAGCCTTCCCTAACTGCTCACGGAGTCCGAGGACACCTTCTACTGGAGGTGCCTTGCGCTGTGGCCCCCACACCACCCTCTCTGTCTCCTCCTCGTATTTCTCCTCACGTGCCACCCCCTGCACACAGGGACTAACCCAGACGCGCGTGGGAAGGGCTCAGGAACCACTCAATGGGCAAGACAGAGAATGGAAAGCTGAGTCTGGACTGGCTTGCTTCACTCAGCTGTTCTGTTCCCACTCTTTTACGAGAGCTGCCCCACTGCCATCACTCTGGCCGTCCTCTCTGTCACCGCACTTGTCACCCCCAGGATCCTTCTTGACACCATCTGGGTGCTAACCCACCACATGCCATCATGCCATCATGAAGCCCCCCCCCCCCACCACTGTAGGAATGGAGGGTCCCCTCCTGAGCTCCACTCCCATTGGGCATCCTTGACCCAACTGCCTGACTCTGTACTGTCTGCCATGACTCCTCTGAGGGTAAGCCTTGTCTTCTCAGGCTGACAGCCCTGCGAGAGAAGACGTGGGAGCCAGAGGAAGTGGGAGGAGGGAAGAGAGAGAAGGAAGGCAGACAAGAAGAAAGTATTTACCAACTACTGCATGTGTTCTAGACACAAATCTTCATTCAGTTTCATCCAGGAAACACACACATCTTTTAAGTTCTTTTAAGTTCGTGGGATAGAGTGGGCCTCCACTGGGCCTTCAGTGAGCTTTTGGCTGACCGGTATCCATTCCCCGCTTCCTGAAGGCACCAGCATTTCCTGGGGAAACACCTCTCCCCAGCTGTGTGTGCGTGTGTATGTGTGTCCATGCATGTGTGTGTTTGGGGGAGGCAGTCACTCTGGTGACCAGCCTCCTCCTGGAAGGCTGACAGGGCCAGACTCTCTGGGACAGAAGACCAGTCAATCAGACACTTTATCCTGGACTCTGTATTTGGGGCAGGAATGGAGGAACGGGCTGGTCAGTGCCGTGTGCCTACCCAGATGCTTCCTCTGCAGTTCTCACAGCCCTGCTCTGGAGCACCTCAGAGCCCCAACAACAGTGCGAACCCCCAGAGAGCCTCCTTAAGCTGGCCAGAGTCCATTTCTGTGATATAGTATAGTTCCATTAGAGTCCTGGTGTTCAACTCCAGCTGGCACATTCGAATCCCTGGGAAGCTTTTAAAATCTCTATGCCTGGGTCACCACTAGCCCACCAAATCTGACCCTCTGGGGCATCAGCACGTCGCTAAGCTGCCCAGAGCTCTCCCATGGGCAGCCAAGTCTGTAAGCCACTCGGGCAGAGACTAGCCCTCACCATCTTCTTGGGGCAAGCCTGGCAGGCCAGTCTCTGTCTTGGAACTTGTCCTGTGCCCTTCACAGAATTTAATTAATGTATGTCTTAAGTACATTTTTATTTAAATTTCTAAAGAAATACATACACTGAAAGCACTGAACAATTCAGGAATACATAAGAACCTCACATCGCCTCTGTGCTCTTTGCTTTCTTCCCTTCAGCAGCCCATACTGACGTCTCCCTCCACACGTCTGAAGCCAGCTCTCTGAGAGCTCTTCCTACGCATGTGTCCATTCGGAATTCATTTCATTTTATTTTGACATTATGACTTGAGCTGTGTTTATATAACTTGTCCCAAGGGATAAAAGAGTGAAAAAAATGCGAAAGGAGCTACACCTTATAAGTAACATTTAAATCACATTTTTAGCTCTGTCAGCAAAATAGTTACTGCAGGATCCTATAGGCAAAAATACAAATCTCAACATATATCAAAGTATGTGAATACAGTTAGCTACGTGGAAAACGTTAGGTCAACTTCCATTGACTTGTGTCAACATACAAACACCTGGGAATATAATAAAAGCTTCCTGACACATCCTAGTATTTTCATTAGATTTTCCACAGATTCACCAATATTTGATACCATAAAGCTCAGCTAAATAAGACGGGATCTGATGGTGTATAAAAATGTATATAAATCTGCTACTCTAACTCCTGAAAGAATCCTCCCACTTTTTTTTCTTTGAAGAAGACAGACATTTGGTATACGGGCTCTACCTGTGTTCTTTCCCTAGTCCTGACAGCCACATCTCGTTGTTCACATAAGTTCTGTTCAATGAAGTCACTGGACACTGGGTTAGCGGAAATACATGGGAATACAGGGGAAATATATGGAAATACATGGTCTCTGGTCACAACATTTCCATCAACCCATCAATATAGAACCTTGTTTATGTGTGGTTTTGTTTAGAGATGCTGTATTTAGGGGTGCCTGGGTGGCTCAGTCGTTAAGCGTCTGCCTTCGGCTCAGGTCATGATCCCAGGGTCCTGGGATTGAGCCCTGCATCGGGCTCTCTGCTCAGCGGGAAGCCTGCTTCCTCCTCTCTCGCTCCCCCTGCTTGTGTTCCCTCTCTCGCTGTGCATCTCTCTCTGTCAAATAAATAAATAAAATCTTAAAAAAAATAAAGATGCTCTATTTAATATATACAGCTGAAGAGTGAACTCTGAACCCACGTGCAACAGCACCACGATTCGTGCCTACAGAGGTTGATCTGACACAAGTATGTTCTCAGTGGGGCATACAGGAGCCTCCTCATGCCTATGAACGATAGATAGCACTCGAGCACCCAGGCTGAGGACCTTTTAAACAGCAAAATCAGCAACGAAACACACGAATATGCAAAAAAAAACAAATGTGGCACAGAACAGACCACAAAAAGGACACTTGCTTACAACAGGAGGGCTGAAACTAGAAGGCAAGCCTTCGTCTTGCTTGACTTCAGCTGGGAACGTGCTCGTGGGGTGACTCAAAGCTTCCACTGCGGTGTCCGTGTCCACAAATGACTACAGAATCGCCCAGTGCTGACTGCAGAGTCACAGATAAATTTTAGGGAGTAGGAGCATCAGCAGACACGAAATGTGTGAAGGGTGAGGATCAACTGTGTTGGGACAGACCTGACTGCCAGCTACACGAGGACCAAGATATTTTCCTTTGCAATGCCTTTCTGAAGTATAATTTGCACACTACAAAATTTACCCATTGTAGCGTACAGCTTCATGGGGTTTATCTTTACTTCCTTTTAAACTTTCCCTCCACTGCAAGAGAAGTACGAGGGAAGTGGGGGTCTTACTTGTCTCAGTTAGCTTCAATCCATAGCCTGAAGTAGGGTCTAGGACACAACCAGCACTTAGTAAGTGCCTGTTAAATGAATACAGCGATTCAACAGGGGAACCAGGATTGTGCCTTTCATCTGCCCCCATTTACGCTCGGGTCATGTCCTTTCTTCTCCCCAGTCCCGGGGTCCCCGGTGCTGGGCCTGTCATAGGGTATCTTGTAAACACCTATTTGATGAACTAACACCACAAGCAGCTGTAATAGTAACCAC